TGAAAGCCACTGAGGAGGGGGCTGAGTTCATTAGGACTCTCTTCCCTCCACAGCGTGGTGTCATACGCGGCCTTCGGGTTTCTCTTCTTCCATTGCTTGACCTTCTGTTCCTTTTTCATCAGTGACCCCTTCTAAAGTTTTCTTGCCTATTGCTTTACTGGCTTCTTCCTGAGGACAGAATAAGAAATTGAGAGGGTCAAAGACAAAAGAAGTGAGATGTTCAATTAATTCCTGGTGCCTCCAGGCTGTTTATCAAGTACAAGAGAGTACATTACAATGACTTTATTTAGGTTTGCCCATTTGGGTAAGCCAGGGCTGTGCTACCAATGGCTACAGTGGGAGCTTTCACTTTTCCCTGGTTAAACTGACTGTCTTGCTGCTGTTTAATAATCAAGTCTATGTGACAAAGGGGGCTGGGGAGTCAAGCAAGCACTCAGGACCAGGCTACAGCTATGCTATAAGCAGAGGCTGACCTCTCTCTACACAGACCTCTCCCATCACACATGCCAGGTTGGCCTCCGAACCTCAAGGCAGAAGGCATGATGATTGGGCTTCCCCACAACAGCCCATTTCCTGGGAAAATCAGAAGTCTCAACAAGGAGGTATTAGTTGGGAAGGAGCGGGGGATGAAATGTGCTTATGATTTTTTTAAATGACAAAAGCTTTAGTACTTCTTTAGGGAATTTATTTTATTCATCTCTTGCATGGACATTGCAAGGCCTCACAAGTATGTGCCTTTGATGAGGGGAATAGCTGCATCCAACCTCTGGATCCAAACTAGCTTCAGATCAGAAGTCATTTTCCCTGTTCTTGTGCCTCTAGGGTTGTCTACCTGTCCCTGTGCCCTATCCTTAACCTTCTTAGAACAAAAAATCAAAGGGGCAAGGTCAGTTATTGATCCACCTGAAGGCAGGTGGGTCCTGCACATACCTTTGCATCCTGCTCTGCAAACTTCTTGAACATGTTGGCATATATCCTGCGGTCCCGCTCATTGTGCTCCTTAGCCTTCTTCTGGCACATGGAGATCTGCAGTCTTGCAGCCTTATTCTGGGGATTCACTTCTAACACCTTCTCAAAGTCACCCTTGGCTGACTCAAACTCGTTCATAAGCAGCTGGGCTTCACCCCTCCTGTACAAGCCCTTCTCATTGGCACTGTCCAGTCCAAGGGCCTATGAATAGA